AGGAAGCTGCTGCTGTCACTGAGGGAGAAGTGGCCCTCCCCCAGCCAGGCAGCTCTGTGTGCAGAGCCCTGAGCCCCTGGCTGGGTGGAGTTGATTAAGCAGCTGTGGAGCCGTGCTGCCACGCAGATTAGAGGGAACCTTTGTCTTGACTGCTCAGGAAGATTTTTGATTAAACAGAAGGCAAGAGAGAAATTGGGGGGAGGAAGCTGCTGCTGTCACTGAGGGAGAAGTGGCCCTCCCCCAGCCAGGCAGCTCTGTGTGCAGAGCCCTGAGCCCCTGGCTGGGTGGAGTTGATTAAGCAGCTGTGGAGCCGTGCTGCCACGCAGATTAGAGGGAACCTTTGTCTTGACTGCTCAGGAAGATTTTTGATTAAACAGAAGGCAAGAGAGAAATTGGGGGGAGGGAATGCAAGGAAGCAAAAGAATATATGTGGGGGAAGAGAAAGAAAAAGAGAGTCTCATGTCCCATTTGGTGTGTGGATTCAGATGGCACAGGGTAGAGGTGGTGATGTCATCTGGGTCCTTCTCCCTGGCCTGGTCTGGTCAGAATATCTGTCAGGATCAGAATGACTACTATGATGAGAAGCTTTGGTTTTCTCCCTGAGCCCTAGTGGGTCTAATGCTGACTCACTTGGCAGATCCTCTGTTCTCAGCCTCCCAGAGAACCCTAGGCCCAGGCATTGTTCTAGCAGACATGTTTTCTCCCTGAGTCTTTCTTTAAGGAAACAAAAAGGGAGTACTGGGTGAGCCCATTCTCTCATGATTTTGTCCACCAATTAGGGACTGTTTTTTTTACACCAATTTTAGCTCATTGATTTTTGGTCTTAGAGTTTTTGTTTACAGGCATGATCTTACTGTAGTATTATGCTAATAGGCCTTAGAAACCAATACTTCTATTACTCATGTAAATAAATACATATATTTGTCTACATTTGAAAGCCACCTCTCTACTTATGTGTACTATCTGCTTATTTTTATAATAGATTATTAAGTGATGTTTGCTTCAGGATAATGTGTTGCCATTCTTTTATCAGCAGTGCCTCCTTAGCAGTTGTGCAAGCACAAATGTACATAGAACACGGGTGATTTTGCTACTACAGGCAGTCTCCGGGTTACGTACAAGATAGGGACTGTAGGTTTGTTCTTAAGTTGAATCTGTATGTAAGTCGGAACTGGCGTCCAGATTCAGCCGCTGCTGAAACTGATCAGTCTGGACACCAGTTCCGACTTACATACAGATTCAACTTAAGAACCCCAGGTGTCCCCAAGTCAGCTGCTGCTGAAACTGATCAGCAGCT